TGCTAGATCATACGCGTTTTCTTAAATGCTCGCAAAGCAATGGGCTATTCCAGGGTTTTCCTGGAGGAAAAGCGATCACAATCTGGCCTTTGTTATCCAGCTTATTCTCCAAGAGTTCCTACTTGAGGGCCCCTGGAGCAGATTCTTGGAAGAGCTCCATTTTGCACCCCAGCCAGAAAGCTCCGAGTTTCCGTATATTATTAGCACACAATGGAGCAACGTCAGCCCGCGCTGGGAAGGGCCCCTGGCAGCCACAATGCTCCCAGCCCCAACCCCACACCGGGCAGGGGAGAGGGGCTCCCTTCTGGGGAAAATCCACCTCCTCCTCCTCCTGCATGGCCCTGGTGTTCAGGGACAGAAAAGGCAGGAGGCAAAGCAGCAGAGCGCAGTCAGGCAAAGGCACGGAGTCAGCCAAAATACAGACCAAGGGCTCCGGGAAGAGTTGACTTCAGCACCAGCCTGCCCTCAGCTGCTTTTTTGGCTTGGGCTTTGCCAGATGACATTCCTGGTCTGAAAGTGCTAGATGGGTTTGGTTGGAGGGCACAAGGAAACTTGATTCCTGTGAGTCACTTGCAATCTCTGCCACCACCACTATGGATGTGGGCTGCTGGCAATGCACAATCTGCATCGAAACACGCTGTGTATCCCCAGGCCCCTCTTCCTTGGTGCTGCTCAGAGCTTTTGGCCTCAGACCACTGCTGCATTACAGACTCCAGCTGCTCAAGGAAAGAGAAAAAGAAAAAAAAAGAAAAATCTCCGCATGCAAAAATTCAACTTTTTGTAAGAAAAGCCCCACAACTCCAAAACTAAAAATGCTCGCCAGCACAGCAAGCATTTGCCAGCACATTTTTGATTTTTTGCCAAAATATTCTAGCCAAAATTTTGGAGGAAAAAAAAAAACCAACCCAGAATTGTCTATGGAAAGCAGATACTTCTCACGAAAATATTCATTTAGTCAAATCCCCAGGTTTCTACTGAAAGTCAGCATCAGTGGAAAATGCTGACGAGCTCTGTTATTGGCACAGCTTTAATTTTCCTTTGTCTGGAACAGACATGGAGAGGACAGCATCTGTCAATTGCAGTCTTTTGACTTATGTTATTATTTAAAATGGTCTATTATTGTATGTGGTCTCCAGGAGAGGTTCAACCCATCACGGTGCTGGGTGCTGTGTACACACATGGTCTCTCTTCGAGAGGGATTATAATTTGAGCACAAATCCTGGAGAAGAGAAATAGTTGGAGCATAGGGTAATTTCACATTGGTCCCAATCAGCAAAGGGACGCTGTGCTCACCCCTGCACCTGCTCTTTCCTTTGGTGCTTTGTTGCTCAGCCATGCCCCAGCTGCTGGGCTCAGAGCTCCCCAGGAGATGCAGGAACCTGCCCAGCTCTGCGGGCAGCTGCAGAGCAGGGAGCGATGGGCCTCAACCCATTTCCCTACTCTTCCACTGCAATCCTACTTGCTCCTTCCCATGGATGCTCTCCCAACCTCCCTTCTGCAGACTTCCATTGCGCTGACCACATTGAGCCCACCCATTCTCCTGCCTTCCCTGACATGTGTGCAATCCCACGTGCCTGTCTATCAGGCTCCCTTCTACCCCAGCCCCATCGCTTCATGTCCTGCCCAAGCTGACACAATCCCTTTAGGTACAAGGGAGCAGTTAAGAGAAGGATCTGCACTGGTTTCAAATAGTTTCCAGCACTGGTCACCCCCTTCTGTAAGAGATTAAAAAAGCATTGCCAAGAAGGGAGCGAGGGAGAAGGAGAGCACAGGAAAATAAATAAATAAAGGTATATAGTTACTTTTGGTTAGTCTCTATGTGCAGTCCCATCCCAGGGCGCCGTGCTCTGCACTCATTTGAGGTATTAGTCACTTTTTCCATTAGAAGCTCTTATTCTATGGGGATTTATAATGTATCTGTAAAATTGTCTCCAGGCTTTGCTTGGCATCTGAGCTCTCGATTCATGGATAGAATGTAAAGAAACTGCAGTTGTTTGATTTACTGGGACAGGGCACAGGGAGGGAGGGATTTTTTCCATGCTCAGCTTGGTGGAAATAAATTCACGTCGTGCTTTCAGGACACGATCCTTTATAATTCTAGAAAATACACCAGTTGGGTGCAATCTCAGACCAAGTTCTCAAGCATGGTCTTCCCCACAGCTACAGGGAAAGCCTTGCCCTTTTCCAACCCTACTTCTACAAGGGACGAGGCACAAACTCCAGGATCCAAACACCCTGGTGCCTCTCCCATCAGCAGGGTGTTCCTGGCCTGGCTGTTCCCACGGACTTCTACTGTAGACAGGGATTGGTTGAGAAGAAGGGCAAGATCCAGTGCAGCAACACACGGCAGGACCTGAACCTCCTTGCAGCGCTGATCAGATAGGCAGCAGGAGCTTGAGGTGGACATTGCAGGCAAACAATAACCTAAAATTGGAACGTGGCAAATTACTGATTCAAACGCCAGCCTTCCTCTCCCCCTCTTGATTAGCAAACCGCTGGGGAGCCAGCCCTGATTTTCTCCAGACAGTCGTGCTCAGCTCCACTCCTTTTGCTCAGCCCTGAGCTGCCCACGGGGCTGCAGCCCTCGTTGGTATTCACTCTGCGTTGCAGCCCTCCCTTCCCTTCATGGGCTGTTCTGCTCTCCAGCTGGATCACAAACTTTTTATCTGCATGCACAGCAGTGATTAATAAGTTTGGTTTCTAATTTTTTTTTTTTTTTTTTCAGGGAAATATTTAAGCTGCAGTTTGCAAACACTTCCCAGTACACTAACTCAACTACTCGCACCTAATAATAAAGCAATCTCCAAAACACACTGCAAGCCAAATCCTCCTCCTTTTCTTTAAGGAGAGGTGTCATTATTTCATGTTTCCATTCACTGCGTGTAAATGAAGCCTCGAGAAACAGACAGGAGAATATGTAATGAAACAGAAGGATGTATTGCAGAACTGGAGTGGGAAATCCCACAGCTGAAATCCTCTCTCCCATTTAAATGAAAGGCAAAAGCACCACTGCCCACCAAGGAGCCAGGATTCACCCCAGCACTTCGGGAGACAGCAGCACACAGGGTAGGCTGGGAAGGGTTCAGAGTATCAAATGAAGCAGAGCAGAGACACGAGAGGAACAAAGGAAGTTCACGTCGTTATAATTTATTGATGATCTTGGCCTGATTGCTTCAGTGTTTTGTCTCAGCGGAGCGCACTGCTCAGCACTGAGTCCTGCAGGTCACCCAGTCGTACCGATGTGGAAATGATGCGACGGCTTACAGACAAGTTTGACTTACAAGAAAATAAATAAAATAAGCACCAGGATGGGACTCAGCCTCACCCAAGCACTTGCTGGGAAGCAGCCAGGATCTCCTGACCTCACTCCCAGCAGAGCGGAGCTCCAGGAATTCCCTCCCCATAGCTCACATTTTTCCAGCTCTACCAATTCACCCAGTGAGTGCCATGGGAAATCACTACGGCTCAGGCATCCAAACTTGCTTAAGAATGAGCCAAACCGATTCTTTTCTTCAAGGAGGAGGGTCTTAAGGAAAATAAAATGCTGGGGGTTCTTTGTCCCTGTATCTTGGATACGGAAAAACTCCCACGCTTGTCAGAAATAAGAGCAGCACCGGCAGCCCGTGGCTTTCTCTTTTTCTTACTCTTTTTTATTTCCTTCTCTCCAGTGTATGCAAGTGTGTGCCTTAAAGCTGGATGACACAGTGATGGGTTTAAGAGACAGTGAGTGTTGAGATGCCAATTTCTAGTGTAATACAGCTTCTTTCTTCTGTGAACACGGGTGAAAAATCAAAAGAAATAATCCAGAAGGCTGAGTGCACTCCCTGGCCATTCAGCACGCTCATAAATATGCCTAGCGAGATGCTTTGTGTAAAAAACTTCTATTCTGCATTTTGTTTAACTGTGAGTCAAATCGTCCATCCCCATCTTCTGCCTGCACTCCTCGCAGTTAGTGGGGCTGCATTCCCACCCTGCTCCCCATCAGTTTTAGGCTGATGGCTTACATTTAAAAACTAGCAGGTTCTCATTATTCTTTTTTTTTTTTTTCTATTGATTTTTCTCCCACTTCCAGCCAAATGCCCGCTTGCTGGTTGCCTCTTGGCAGAAAATAAGCTGCTGTTACAGTAAGCAACTCCCAAACAAAGAGTTTTAACTAGATTCGCCCTTTGGCACTAGCTCACCATTCAACAGAACTTAGGAGAAAGCCTGCCATTTCCTGCGCACCGCTAATGCTCCAGAATAAAGCAAATTTGGAAATGAAATTAACTACGTCTAAGCTGTCATTTCCTTTTTAAGGCTGGAGGAGCCCTGGAGACCATCAGCTACTAACAAGAAGGGGACCCTCCAGGTCCAAGCTGGATGCACAGACACTCAGGAACAAGCAGACCTTTGTTATCACCACTCACACCAACACACACGCAGATGTCACCGGGATGAGCAGCCTTTGCCCACAAGGGACACTTTCTGCACGGCGGCCAGTTTATTCCTAAAGAAATATATGCATGAGCACATTGCATATAGCACATCACCCTGAGGACGGCTGAAATAATTCCTTCCACGCCTGCATAGACCCTCCGGTGCAGGGTGGGATCCAGCTGCCTTAACTCCTTCTTGCAGCCACACATAGAAGGGCTGAAGGTATTGAGAGGTTTTGGCACGGAGGAAGTTTTGGTTTGGTTTTGAGCATCGCCACCAAACCTGCCGGGACTCCTTTGATGGACAGATTTTCTTTAGTTGTATTTCATAAACACAAACTTATAAATTGAGGAATCGGAAAGAAAAGAAAAAGAAAAGAAACAAAAGCATAACGACCACATTTCTCCGAGTTTTAAGAACGAGCATAGCAGCTCACCCAGCAGCGCAGCCCCACCGCGAAACGAAGTTGTGGAGGGACAGTCCCGGAGCTCCCCCGGCCCCGAAGCACTGCGGGCTCCACTCCGGCCCTGCAGCCCCATCCCCATCCCGGGCAGCCCCCCGGAGCTCGGAGAGCCGGCACTTACCAGCTGCAAAGTGCAGAGGAAAATCAAGGTGCAGCGTCCGGTGCAGCATCCCATGGTCCCCGAGTGCGCCGGGGCAGGCAGCGGGATAGGGACAGCGGGGACAGGGACAGCGGGGACAGGGACAGCAGGGACAGGGACAGCGGGGACAGGGACGGCGGGAACAGAGCACCCAGCTCACCGCAGCCCCGGGGCTCTCCCCGCCAGCAGCACGGAGCGCAGCTGCCGCTCGCCGCCGCCGGGAGCGAGGCGGGCGGGGAGGGAGGAGGGAGGAGGGACGGAGGTCGCGGCGGCTGTCGGAGCCCCTCCGGGAGTCGGGGAGGAGGCAGTGGGGCCACAGCTTAAAAGGGCAATGCTCCACCGGACGTTCCCGTCCCGCAGGCTGAGGCGGTTGGGATGAACCCCATGAGTGCCGCTGGGATGTTCCCGGCCCCCCCGGGCACGGCCCGCCCCCGGGAGGCTGAGCCAGCCGATCCCAGTTTATTTATTTTCTAGAGATGGGAGATCCCGCTGCTGGCCGAGGGTGTGCCAGCACTCCGTGGATCGGGCATGGAGACTATCGAGCATTTCAGGCGACAGGAATCGGGACCTCCTCTCCCCTCGCCACGTGCGCCCCTCACCTTCTTCCTCAGATAGATGCTGGCTTACTCACCCTAAAGTCTTCATGCCCGGGATTAACCTGAAATACAATAACTGTTTCCATAAACTTTGTCAGTTAAAGTGCACATGGAAGACAAGCACAGGGGGATAAGACATGAAATTCATTAAAATGCACATTTGTGAGTGTCTTAAATTACCCGGATTTGTATATGGGCTACATCACACCTCAGTGGTCTCATAAGTGTGTAGGGGAGCATCTCCTTCTGTGGAGAGTTCCACAAGAGCACCATCTAAGAACCACCCACCATACCACGCATCTGCAGCAAAGCAGGTCCAACTGCTTCAGTTGCAAATGGCAGAGATATCCAGGAGCACACAACCACCTCTGTTAGACCACTGAGCCTCCACATTGCCTTGCCTCCTGCCCAGAGGAGTGGGAGCAGAGAGCTTCTGTCACCTCTCCCTGCTTTTGCTCAACCCATGCAGCAGGTAACACACAGACATGCCAGGATGGGGATGTACTTACAGCTAAGCTTCACCAGAGTGGGATAATTAGCTTTTGGAGAGGCACATCTGATGACAATGTCATCTCTTTGCAATCTCCATGGCTGCATGATAAAGTTTGCTTTGCTCTCAAACAACTCAGGGCTCCATTCCTGCCTCTAAAGCAGCATGACTTCGGGACTGTGAGTGATCAGCCCCACTGCCCTCTAAATACTCATACCAAGTTGCTTTTTGCAGTGGTGAAGGTGGAGATGGAGATGGCAGCTGAAATGACATTCATTTTATTCAAGGAAAGCATTGCTTGGTTATAACAGAATGAAGCAGGGTTAGTCTTGAAGAGCTGTGAATGTTTGAAAACTGATAGTAACAAAGTTATTTTTATTCAAATCAGACACAGGGAGAAAAAGAACAAACAAACAAGCAAACTGTGAATACCTAAGGTTGGGAGATGGATTCTAAAATGATCTCAAATCCTACTGTTTTTAAATGGTAAAGTGTATTGATTATCTGACCTGTGCACCGAGCACAACCAGGGCAGCAATTAATGCAGTCAGATACAATAACAGACACTTTATTATGTGTGAAAGGAATACACCCAGTGAAGAAACCAATTTACTTCACCCAGAAAACCGTGGGCTGAAGAAGCTTTGGCACTAATTGTATTCCCAGAATGGTGGATTTTGGATGGCAGAGGCAATAGGAACAAAGTCCAGTTTATTTTTTTAGATGAACATAGATGAAACACTCCTCACAAACTGCATAGGGAGGCTTCACTCTGCTCTATGGGCTCAGGCAAGCTGACATCAGAGGGAGAAGAGGAGCTGAAGGCTGCAGTGCACAGGCTGGGGTCAGGCTGTGGTGCTATGGGCTCTGCAAGCTGCTGGAACAGTGGGAGCAGGCAGGGATGCAGCTGTGCAGGTTGGTACCAGCCCTTAGGGCCATTGCTTAGAGTTTCCTACATCTTTTGTTCCATCTCCTGCTTCTAACAGCCTCCCGTAAGTGCAGCTATTTTCCAGCACAGTTGTAGTACAAAGGAGATGCTGTGAGAAACAGCCAAAGGTATCTCTGCTGGAATCACATTTGACACAAAGAGGATTTTTCCCCCTGCACTTTTTTCTTGATAAGCCAGGGAAAAGGCAGCTCTGTGTTGGCTGAGCCCTGCATGCATCTGAAGGAGAACACACAGAACTTTTTAGCCTATTTAGAAGGGTAAACATGTGATAATGCAACTGTACCACAAAGAGAGACTCCTAGAGACTGGTTGTGTAATCCTAATTTATATGATTTCTTGGCATGGCACGGGGCCCTCACACAGAGGCATCTGCCCTTAAATATCCAAGTGGCCTCACTGGCTTTAGTGCAGCTGTTCCCATGCCAGTGTTTGGATGCTTGCTGCAGTGCCGTGCTCTTCAGCATCTTCTGTCTATGGACAGCAGAGGAGGTGCAAGCAGCCCTGAGCACCCCGACAGCAGAGCTGGGCTTTGGGTTACTACTTGCAAGCCAATTAAAAAGCCTCCTGGACTTCTGGAAGATTCCTTATTTCAGTGTGAATAAATATTAACTTAGCTGAATTTGGACCTAAGGCAATAATAATAATAATAATAATAATAATGGTGGATCTTCATTATGTATATTGAATTAGCAAGTGGATTAACGAAGCACCATTGAATGGAGCAGTCCAGAGGCTGCCAAACACAGTGTCAACACCAGTGTGCACTGTGCCACCAGTGATGTGCCATGGGTCCCCACACAGGGCTGCTTGAAAGCCAAAGGGAATGATCCTGAGCTATAAACGCTGTTCCAAAGACCCCCAGCCATGGTGCCACATCCAAAGGCAGCACATGCCTGTCCCTGTGCTGCATGCTCCCCCCCCCCAGGACAGCCTTTCCAAGGTGGGACGTCACATCCTATTCTTCTGTCACACATTGGAAGTAAAGCTCGCTGCCAGATCTCTGATTGATGGCTCCTTTCCATTGTGCACAGCACAATTTGACAAAGGGAGGTGTTCAGCACGATAGGTTGGGAGTCCTTATGTAAGAACTGAGCGAGCTGCTCCAGGACACTGTGAACGTTCCGAATGAATGGATGAGGGCAAATCCTAGGGAATATATTGAATGCTGTGACAGCACCTCACTCATGGTGACCAGATGTGCCACCACTCCAGAAGCTGGGCTTTGTGGTGTTCCAGAGTGTCACACAGAAGACTTTTTTACATAGGAAAGGATAACTGAGCCAGAAAGGGTGGGAGATTATGTAATAAAGGGCAAGGACTTTTGATCTTCTGGTTTTAAATTTGTAATTTCTTAAAGCTCCCATTACCTGGGATAATGTCAAGGGAGCTGCTCTGGGACTGAGGCCAGCTGCAGCCAATGCTACCAAAGGAGAAGAAAGCTTAAGAGTGGTGGCAAATGCATTGTAGAAAACGAGACAGACCTGTGACAGCAAAGCACAGTGTTTTAAAAATCATTCTCATTAGAAAGGAAACGATCCCAGTGACTTTCATGCTTCGAAATAGCTTCCCAACAGCCAGGGGTGATCTGTAAGTTTTATCAGAACTGATGTGTGAATTCTGTTGTTTTCTTTCTGATCCCCGTGAAACCTTCGCTGCCGGGAGGGGACAGCTTCTAATCAGCTTCTATGGCATTTCAACACCTCATTTTGCATCTGTAATTCCCTAACATTACCTTGCTGAGCCACACAGCGCATTCCCATCGCTGTTTGATGAGGATGTGGAGGATGGCAGAGGTGGGAGGAGGATTCAGAGCACACAGCGATGTGAGCGCTTTGCCCACCCCATGCACATCACTTCTTCACAGCAACAGCTTGCATGAAGGAAACACGACTGGTATCTATCACACTGAGATGCATTTTTCCTCCTTGGGATTGCACACCCACATTCCCAAAGGAATGGCCTGGAGTAGGGAGGAGGGAGTTAATTCTAAGTGCCCAAAGGGTTAATTCCCACTGGAGAAGCAAGCTGTGGCAGCTGACATCGCTGCCCTGCAATCTGAGTCCCTGGCATGATTGCAGCCACATTTCCAGCTGCAATTTCAGGAGGCAGTGTGACCAAGAAGTAACTCAGTGCAGCTGCTGAAGTCCATGGGTATTGACACCAAGTGATTGCCTGAGGCTGCCATGCGACAGTTGCATTTCTCAAACGATAGGACACAAGAAGAGCCAGAAGGGTGAGAGCAGCCCCTGATTTGGGGCAGCCATGTGGGGGCTCTCTTGTAGACAGGCAGCTTCTCTTGTCTGCTTAGGAATCAGTGACAAACTTCCCCCAGCCAATTAAACACATGTACACAGGATAGAGCTGCCTTCCTGCCCTGTGTCAGCTATACTTGTTCCAGCACCAGCAACACCCAAGAAAGACCTAGAAACGTGTGTAGGCAGAAGGTCTGGTGGGGCTTTCCAAACACAAGTGGCTGCTGCAGCTTTCCTTTGGCTCCAGCTATGAATTGTCACTGCAGGAACACAAAGGATGCCTCAGTGCATTTTTGTACTTCGTACTGATGGTGCAAACACACACACCAACATGCACTCTTAGCTCCATGCACTCCCAGCTGCATTTCCACAGCCAGTGGCAACAGCCATCGTTGCTTGGTGAGGTTGCTGTGTTGTGGCTGCCAAGTGCAATGAACAGCAATAGCTATGAATGCTATAATTAATAACATGTAAATGTTATTTAATAAATGTTATTAAATAATAAAAAAATGGGCAGTAAATAATGATAATTATACAAAATAAATGTTTGAGAAGAACTGACGTTCCATCCCATGGCAGGAAACATTCCTTAGAATCATAGAACCACAAGGTTGGAGAAGACATATATCTCAATGTGTGAGTGGGAACGACCTCCTATCAGGACCTATAAGAACAAGACACCCCTTAAAGTCACACAAGCTTCTCAAACTCATTCCTTTTAAAAAGTGACCAAGACAGGAGCGTATGGTTTCCTAACACTGCCAAATGCTGCCAGTACTGAGCACTGCATTGATCCCACAGGGGTGTCACTGAACAAGTCAACCTAGAGATGCTACAGATACTACGTTTTGTAGCCAAGTAAAATTAATTCTATCTGAAAAAGCTCAGCATGGAAGAGACTGTCCCTGCCTTCTGTTTTGTTCTGTTATCCTATAATTTGTTCTTTGCTGCATTCCGTACGTGGGTGACTCTGGGTATAACAATTACTGCAATGGCAACTGTGCAAAAAGCATGTGGAATTTCATGATAGAACCAATTCATAACTAGAGAAAGGGGTGAGCTGGGAATACAGTGAAGGATGCCTTTGTAAATGTTATTAGTATGCCATTCTATATTATCTTATA